GATGCTGTGCTTGTGAGCAAGACCTACTTGTTAGTCCTCCTGGGACTGACAAACCTGAGGAGGAAGGGCGTGCAGATTCACTTTGACAACTCTAATATTATCAGCCTGTTAAGAAGAATTTCTTTCTGAATTATTAGCTAAGGAAATGGGGTGGGTGGGGAGGAGGGATGGAGAAGTAAGGTTACCCTTTCTTCATCAGGGACTGGAAGGATCTGGGTAACAATGGAGACTTAGAGAAACAAATCAAAGTCTATTCTACTCTCTTGAGAAGAAGACTACAACATCAAGTCACCTTACAACATGAAGTTATATCTTGCAGATACCAGAAGAACTGGAAATCTTTGGAGGATCAGATATGCCTTAACTAAGTCTACTGCAGGTGGGCTTCTTCTGGGGAAATGCACGACCAGAATTTTAGCCGTAAGCACTTCCTCAGTGCCATACCACTGAAGTAAATAGGTGGAAAACAGTGTCCTGTAGGAAATCTAGGCATTACCACCTTGAGGACTCCATTTCAAAAGGGAGGTTTTGAAAGGATCATACAGGGATGATGATCTGAAAGGCCATTATAGCATGGGTAAGCCATCTTCACAATGCCATTTCATAAGTTCTACTGACTACAGTATGATGATGAAAAAATATAAGAGTACATCTTAAGGAAAAAAGGGAAGGCAGCTTTTATAACCACTATTTTCAGAAATCTGAAATTGAACCACAAACCACTGTTTCAGGCCAGCTAACAGACCGGAGGGATAGATTGGAAGAGCAGGAAATACCCATTTTACAGTCAGAGGAAGCCTCAGCTTTCACTAACAAGAAAGGAAACATACATGAAATCCAGTGCCAGAGATGAGGAGAAAGAAATTTGAAACACAAATCTTAAACACTCCAAACCCAAATAATGGCAAATCAAATGAAAAATATTTCTTTCTGATGCTGTTTTCTTATAATTACCTGAAGAAAGGTGTCCAAGGAAGTTATTTTTTAACATAGAACATTAGCCAAAATGTTGACTTAAAAACTAAAGAGAAAGAAACAAGGGTAAATTTTTGATAAGATGGTGGGTGCACTGTGTTTCTTGTGTACTCAAGGCTGCATCTCTTTCCCAGATCAAAATGGGCATTTGGTCTCCACACCTACTGAATCCCTGATTTGTAATGTGCAAAAGGAAACCCACTGAGGGCCAAATGGATCCCTGCTGGCATCTGCCTGAACACCACCCAGAAGCCTCCAACTGCTCAATCCTCATGTCCTCAGGGCAGCAATGCCCCATGTACAAGCACCAAGCGTACGTGTCACTTGCCAAGGACATGTTCTGCAGTCACTTTAACATGGTAGTCCATGAAGTGTTCCTGTTAGGCATTATTACCTCTTGTTAATTTGATCTGGCTGTGCTTTCAGAATGTGAGTGAAGGGCTTTGGCTGTATAAAGCCCAGCTTTTTTTGCCAGGCCTGCTCCTGCTCCCCACACCTCCTTCTCCCCTGTTTTTGGTATTTATAGCTGCAACACTCATTTACAGTTGCATAAGTGTAAAGAAGGATGTCTTCTGGGTTTTCACGCATCTGCCCACGTGAAATTACCACGTTAGTAATTACCTCATTGTTTAAGTCAAAAATGCAGCTAACAGAGATTGCTTTTGCAACCTTGTCACTTCAGAATGCCTTAAGACAGTATAAAAGTACCCATACCAGTAAAACATGTTTTCCAGAAAAGGAGACTGTTTTCTGGGCATATTCCTTGCAAAAGCTTTACCTCCTCCCCTATTTAGCAAAGCTTAATATAGGATAAACATTTTGTCACTTACCATTTTAACTTACATTGAAATATTGCATGGCTCTCGCCCTGGGGATGCTAAATAATTTTTATCAGATTAAAAAAAAAAAATAATATCTGTTTTATTTCTCAGAGGCTTTTTAAGATACCAAGAAGCCAAACCTTCTGCTATCACTTTTCTGCCCAGTATGGCTGCAGAAAACATACAGGCCCTGATTTCAAACTCATTTATACATATTTAACAGAGAAGAAAACAGAGGAGTCAGAAGCAAAGAAATGATTTTCCACGGTCACAAAAGCCGGTCATAGAAGCACAGCTGGGTGTTGGATCAGGATCTCTCGGCAGCCAGCCACAAAAGATGCACAGCACAGAAAAAACATTTCCTGTAAGGAAGCATTTGACTTTCAAAGCTGCATGAAATGTTCACAAGAAAACCATGTAAATGCCCAGTGGACTGGGGGGCAGGGGGTGAAGAGGATTTCATTAGAAACTGGAAGCCCTCTCTTGTTTCACCCAAAGATTTGCTCGTCACAAGCACTGCCAGCTAGCCTGAGGTGATTCTCATGTTTTGTATCAAAACCAAGCAAATATTCAGTCTCTAGTAGTTTCGATGTGAGTTTGCCTTGAAGTTCATTTCAGTGCGACACCAGTCAAACTCCACGGATAATGAAGCTCATAGTGGCAATATTTTCCCGAGTCTCTGCAAAAGGAAAGCACTACTTTTTTTTTCTGAAGCACTAGCAAGTACAGTGCTGCTGTAGATATATGCTTACACTGCACAAAGCTGTGAGCATTGAAGACATTACAATTGCTCCTCCTCTTCCATCCCACGGCTGTTTCCACCACCCCACTGCCAAGGTTTAATGTCTCAAAGGCACCAGGGGGTTTGCACGTGCCCCCCAGTCTGCAACAGTGCACACCCAGCCCAGCCAATTAAAGCAATCAATACAGTTTGAGATAATCTGATGGATCTGTGCTGAAACAGATGAAGTGCCCACACAATCCTTTCCATCAGCATAGTGGTGGGGCCAACTGTGAGTCCTTAACTGCACTAGTTATATTTGGAGGTGCTGGGTGCTCACAGATATCTCTTCCAGTACACAGCCTAGCTAGAGGTGTCCTCCAAGTGACGTTAACTGAAACTCGCATCTTCAGGTTTCAGCAAAAGCTATGTCAGGTAGGAGCAGAAAAGGATGCGGTCTCTATTGAGTGTGAATAAGCTGAATGTGGGTGTGAAGATATCAGCCACTCTGCTTTTCTACAGGATTGCTCATTTGACTAGGGGCAGGGTGACAGTTTTACTATGCTATTATCATGTAACTCTTTGCTTTTACAGTTGTTCTGCTGCTGTGTAAGGACTTATTACTGAAGTGTAATATAAGCGTAGAAGCCCATTGCACAGACCACACTCCCCTTGTGCTATGTGCTGTACCTGGACAGAACAGGGTGACAGTCGCAGTCCCAAAGCATTCGTGACCCGAATGTAAAATGTTGGGGCAGCGTGGCCAGGAAAGGGAGTAAAACAGGACAAGGGCAGCCAGCACATTAGCCATACATAAAGTCTTTTAAGGGGCAGTGTGGAACAGAAGAGTCATATGAATGGATGCTAAAAGCCAAAAGAAGCTGCTTTGCACAGCTTCACAGGACACTCCTTTGAAGTATGAAGAATGTTTCAAAATGGAATGACTACTCAGGGGAGGCCAGGACTGCATGTTATTAGATGTGGAAGCTAACTCTTCAATACTGAGGAGGTGATGATAGGTAGGGAGAAGACAGACCACGATAAGCCTTGAAGTAAAAACAAGCAGCATAAGTTTCTAGAGCGAGGCAATGGGAAAGCACAGAGAACAGACAACACGGTTAAACTTAAGCGTTGGGAAAGTTATCTTTGCAGGAGCACTGGGATTGGGTAGGGTACATCTGTCAGATTTATGACAGGATAAGTACAGTGACTGATCCATAAGATAACAAGAGCTGAAGTTGTAACAGCAAAGATGTAGTTGTCTGGGTAGAGAGAAAAGGATGTATTACATAGATGGCATTCAGAATGAACTTATGAGACTGGGTTATAAATGGTAGGGGATATTAAAAAGAGTGAGGCTGAAAGAGGAGGAAGCAATTCAGATTCACATCTTTCCTAATGAGGAAGGTGTGTGGTACTCTTCATGTAAAAATGATATGCCTTGGTTGTGCAGGAGTTGCCATGGCTGGCCACTGAAACACAAAAGACCAGAGCCAAAGGAGTTCTCTGGCTCTTGGGCTGAACAGCATTGTCTGGCTTCAATGCCCACAAGGATGAAAGAAGGATAAGGACAGGGAATATTATGAAATACAAGAGTAGAGACAGTGGCAGAACTGGAGGACCCAGTGAAGGAAAGCAGGTGAATAACCCTGTTATGGACAGTATGAGTTGCAGAGGAGAGGTGCTGAGGATACACAAAGGAAGGAAGGAGGGAGGCACATCTGTTAACTTGCCCTTATGAGAAATTTGCAGAACCACATGCAAACAAAGGACCTAGTCAAAGGGGTCAGGATATAAAAGACTGACAGTAGCAATAAAAATGTTTTGCCTGTATAATGCAATTGTATCCTAAACCTGTAAAGTGCTCCTAATGTAAACTTACCTTAACCTCTCTGTTTAAGACTCTCTCTAGTCCAGCGCCTTTCCTGATACAGAAACACATGGCATTGTGTACTGTAGGTTGAATGCTGAAATAAATGCAAAGTGGCATCTTTTAGCTCAGTACTACCCCTCCCATATCAGTCTTTCTCACATACAACCAACACAAGCACTGGTAAAAACAGTGTTCCTCAAAGGTTTTTTCTACTTTCTGGGTACTAGTCATACAGCAGTGTCAGTACTGTCACAGCCCTGTTCAGGTCAAACTTCTAACAACATTGCTCTTTCACAGCTTTCACCCTGCCTTACCTCAATTGCATTGGTGCCCTTGCCTGCCTGCACCTCCTCTCCTACAGTGGCATGGCCAGGCTTTGTGCTGAGAATGGAAAAGCGTCTCCTGTTGCCTTCACAGGCATCCTCAGTTCTGGACGTGTTATTGTCAACTCCATCATACATGTTCTAGCCAAGTGTCAATATGCCTGGAGACCTGGCTTGTAGGTTCCTACAGGTACTATACACCTCGGGAGTTCATTAGTGCTGTGATTAATCAGGATGATATGCACATGGTAGTCAGTCACATCAATATTAAACTGAATTCCAGGCACCTGGTTCTCTGCTTTAAGAAACAGGGCTTCAGCAATTAATCTTCTTCTGTTCCACTGCTGTTCCTGTTTTCTGATGCTCCCCGCCCCATGCTTACTTCAGCATGATCCCAGCTAGGGAAAATAGAAAAGGAAAACAATAACTTCAATGACTAAATAACTTGGATGTAAAACAAAGAAGTTGCACAAGATTTTACTTACCTTTTGGCTAAAAAAAAAGGGGGGGGGGGGGGAAGGTCTGAAAATGGAAAGCTTTTACCTCTTAGAAGAGTTACCTCTTGATAAACCTGAATCCACGTTACTTTTGGATAGAGCACAGGCATACCTGAGTAATCTGCACCTTGGCTTATGTTTCCCCAGAAGCCAGAACCTCATTCCCCCAAGTTCTCCTGCTACCTCCTGCAGCAAAATGGCACCAGAGGACACCTGGTTATGCCCAACCTCCAACGTCTGCCAGGAGGATGAGGAATGGAGTACAGTGTCAAAGGCATTGTTCTTATGTAGGACAAGAGATCTTTCTTTTGACTGCCTTGTATTTTTGCTGGGGTGTGAAACAGAAATCTGCCCATGCCTGTTCCCTTCCTGCTGCTAAGAGGCTGCTCAATAATTCAGTTACCTCTCCCCAAAGGAAGCTCTGCTGGCCTGCTGCTTGCTCAAGCCAGTTGCTGCTGCTCGGCAATGAAGTCTGAAGTGCCACAGACTTCCAGGGGCCCCTTTGGCACCAGCTCTTTTGTATTCCAGTGGCCAGCAGCAGCTCCTTAACTCCCTGGCAGCCAAAGCTCATTATCATTTTTATATAATTAAACAGTGCTGCTTGTTCTCCTCATTAGGTTATCACAGCAAATTGATGGTTATTTGAGGGAACTGCCACAATAGGAGACAAAACACTGGCAACAGATAAAACAAAAGGATGCACACAAAGCTCTTTAATTAAACTCTGTGAAGGGATATGAATTCTAGCAGAGATTTTAGTTACCCTGCTGAGCCTCTTTCTGATTAGCTACAATACATCTGCTGGCTTTCCTAGTATCCATCTGTACTGCTAAAGAGAAATTCATTCTGGCTACACAAGATGACCTCAAAGACGTCATCTGTGGATAGTCTAATAGCTTATGTATGTTGACAAAATGGTTCTGAGTTCTTGATGTGTTGACATGAAGAAGCATCCTATTTGCATATAACAATGTGCTTAATATGCATGCGCACACATATGTATATATGCACACACAAATAACAGTGAGAGGCTAACATGTAAGCCAAAAGAGGTTGGAAAACTATGAGGGAAAGGATTCTTTCTCCAAGAACTCCTTATCACCACAATTATTTTTTCTTTTGGCACTCATCATCTGTTCCCCTCCGCCCTCTCCTTCCCTTCAGCATCCAGGTGCAGAAGCCACAGTGAAGGCTAATGGATGGGACAAGAAAAAAGTAAGGTATATATTATGTAAGGTATATTAATCATAAGTTAGGCTGCTACTTTGAAGTTTAATTTTCTTTCAAAATGAAAAAAAGAGAAAAGAAAAAAAGGAAAAAAGAAAGAATAAGAATTGAAAAGAGATCTGTCATGGAGCATTTGTAAGAGGCAGTGCCACAAAACCCTTTGGGGCTTTCCATTCAGGTCATAAGGGATCTGGTTAAAATCGCAGTGGTCCTTAATCCACAAGTAATTGACAGCACAGCTCCCAGTGACTCAGTGTGGTATACTGCCACAGTGCTCATTACTACTGCAGACCTGTAATCACTATATTTTTAGTCATGTGCACCCTGTTGGCTCTATACAGCCTATTGATACAATACACAATTTGCAGATTTATCATAATTAATTACCTGCTGGCATACTAAAAGCCATTACCATCTAGCATCCAATTCAGAGGAATGTATTTGATGGAATGAGGCCAGACTATATGATGCAGACATACAGCCTCAAAACACTCAAGGAAAACAGTGGTTCCCTGTGCTAAACATGGTGCAGTTTTTTCCCTCAGAGCCCCAGGAACTTGGGTGGATGAAAGACCTCTTCCTCATCTCTTACAGAGCTCTGAAAATATCCCAAGTTCTGCCTAATTTAAACAACCCAGTCCTCAGGGTCCTTCTTGGTTGCCAATGTCCTACTGTGAAGGATCCATTAAATCTTTTATTTATTTGTCCATAGAGGCCACTGAAGAATGTCACAAGGTATTTCCTTTTCCAAAGTATATTAAGCCAAACATGAATGAGGCCCTAACATTATTCTGGGTGAGGGTGTGCACTCATATTTGCCAGACTACTGACAGTCCGCAGGGAGAAAATATTCCCAGGCCCAAATTCTGACCACCTTACATGCAAGTAGGTGCAGATTTGTTACACTCATGACTTGGCAGTATTTTACATTCAGGCTTTGTAATGTCAGATGTAAACGAACACAAAGTTCAAAACACTGGGGAAAAAAGTCTCATACTGATTTTCTCTGCATAAACCTCAGCCTCTGCTGTCCCACTGAGCAAGGAAAAGGCCATATTATTATTATTTTTTAACTGCAATTTAATAGTAATTAAAAATGGAGAGTTCCAGCACCGTACTGGCAGTGTGATTTCATTTTAGCATTAAACATCAGTTTACTGTTAACTCAGACAACTGTCCACCTACAGAAACTCTCTAACTCAGTCATCCCCTAGGATGTCTGTCCTGGACTACGTCTGAAAACCAGCAGAACAAGAGATTCTGACCAGTAACAAGTATCACCAGAAAGGACCAATACTTTCCCATTATGAAAATATAACTCCAGAAGGTCTGTATTTTTTTAAAAGATCACATGCAACTCTTATTACAAAACTAAATTAGGCTTGCATTTGTCTCAGTAAGGTAGAAAATGCAGTCCTCAGCTGACTCAAAACTAAGTACAGTCAACAACTCCACCTCACCCCCAGAAGCCCTACATGCATTCAAAGTATCCTTTCAAAGCTTGTCTCCCTTGCAGTTTCTGTCTCCAACTTCTTATCCTTTAAGTTACTTAATTCTTGGCACCTCCTGCCTCATTAGATGCGAAAGTCCAGTATCTGAAGCAGGGATTTAGGCACCCTTACTGCAAACACCTGGAAGCCAGTGTGATGACACTTGTATTTATTTAGAAGTGTTACTGTGTAGAATCCCAGGTCTGCTGACATGGATCAGCGCTGCTTTCTGCAAAATGCCATAAAAAAAAGCAGAAAGCTTCTGTTGCTGACAGCTAATTCTTTTAAACTTGGAAAGTGATAAGCTAAGTGGTACATCTACAGGTCACAGCAACCTTCTACAACAGCATGAACTATAAGCATAATTTTCTCACAACAAGCAGTTTGAGGAAAATGAATCTGCTTCTTTATCTATTTTCAGCGTTAGGAAACCATGATACAGAAATAAGCCAATAAATGTGCATAGCCCACAAACATGCTTGTAATCTGGAACAGCTGAAGTACTTGATAAAAGCATCTGACGACTTATGCATAATGTAAGTAATACACTTTCCATTATGAGCTTTAAAAATCAAGCCATACTGCTGAAACCGATAATAGTGTAGATGATGTACATGACCAGTGGCCTGTGCCTTCCTCTTGGACAAATCTCTTGCTGTTGTTGAGTATTACAAAATCCCATGAGCTGTGAAGGGCATGAATTGTCCCTGGGACCTGAAAGTCTGTGGGATGCTGTTAACAAGCTAAAACATTAGGTTTTGCAAATACTGAAAAGTGGGATTGCAGTGTATTAGCCCAAGAGGATTTTCCAGAAGGAGGTTTGAATGTTGAACTGCAACAGGGTCTGAAGAAAGGGTCGACCCTCTTGTCCTGTTATGTACCTTTCCAAGAGTGAAAAGAAGGGGAAAATGAGTTCAGAAATGATAAGATATGGTTAGTTTCTTCCAGCTATATTGCATCAGGTCTGAGTACTTCAGTTAAGTGAAAGACTGTCTGAAAAAGCACTTTTGGGAGGCTTGTGCAGTAAATTGTTTTTCCATGTCTTTCTGAAGAAGAGTTCCTAGTACTTGTTAAGAGTTGGCATGGAAGTCCCCAGGTACATCGATATATTCTGTATGTACAGCTTCAAGAGCTATGGAGGGCTTTTTTCTATAGAAATTTGAGTACCTGAGGCAACAACTGCTCTCTAGTTTGGAAACTAAGCAGACACTTTTGTCTGTGTTTACTCCTAAGGGAAAGTAATATGATCATCATAAGGCTGTGAGTTACATCAATTTTAAAAAATATTGCTTTGAATTAACAGAAAAGTGAGGAGGAAAATTCTTCCTTCTGGAAATCTTGTTCTCAGCTGATTATTTATGTGTTGATATTCATTCTTTCCAAGTAAACAAAGCAATAAGCTCTTCCTATGAGCCAAGTGAATCAACATTAGTGGAATGAAAATCATTCTCTTACATAATTGTTTTTCCCCAACCTCCAAGCCCTTAAAAAAGGCCAGAAAATCCACCTTAGAAAAAAAATCTGGTTGTACTGTCCTACTAAATGAAAACAAAAGGAGTGATAAAATAATAGGGAGAGAAGGATTTAATCTTTCATTTATAAAAAGAAAACAAAAAAAGTATGTACAAGAGTTTGATTATGCCTTTGAACAAATTCTATCCTCCAATGGATATTTGCAAAGAAAAATTACGAAAACATGCCCTGTCTGGTGGGCGAAAGAAATACAAAATCAGCAGATGTATCAAAAAACATGGGGGAGCTAATATTTTCAAACAATTAACTTTGCATGCAGTTCTGGTGCTGCCTCTGTACTGCAGGAATGTAATCAGTGTAGCAATCCTTGAGTCAGATAAATCCAACTTCAAATTAAGAGGGAAGCAGGCCCCTACAGCACTTCTCTGTGCTGGAATTAAATAAGCCCACTCAGTCCTGCCTTCAAGATCGTCTCATTCTAACAGCGACCTCCAGCAGCAACTGCTGTCTACAGAGTCTCATGCTAAGTGCAGACATTGGCAAGTCACTAAAACTAAGTCGCTAAGACTAAAGCCACTAAGTAGATGCCAAACCACCACCACAACAGTGAAGTCTGTTTGCGAGTGATTTTTCATTGTCTGCAATGTAAAAGTCAATAACGGTCCCAGATATTGGTAAAGTGCCATTTCTAGTAGGCATAACTGAAGGGGGAATTCACACTGCACGAAATGCGGGAAAACAGAGAAGCATTCCTCCTCCTAAAGCTAAGGGGGGTAGGGAGGAAATTGCCTTTTCAAAACCTGATGAGATTAGATGGCATCTTAAGACGCCAAGCTTTTTAGCACGGCTCTGCTCCAATTCTGACTACTAATTATGAAGGACACTATAGAGTGGAAGCCGTCTGTGCAATTCAAGAACCACAAGCACAAGGCTTATTTTTCCTGTACATGGTCAGAGCAACAGGCAGTGGTATAACTTACATCAGGGAGAATTTTTCTTTTTCTTTTTTTTAATTAGGAACATGAGTAACTTGAAGAGTTTGCCAAAAATCCATGATCACTGATCTTCTGTGAAGAAATGCTTCTGCCTTATGCATTAAAAATGCCAGTGACAGCTAAAGCAAAGATCACCAGCTCACTGTCACTCTGGTGCTCTTCTGTAATATCTGATCAGCCTGCTGGCTACTACATTAGCCCTTATGTCTAAGGGAACTCCTGCTTGTAAAGTGGAAATAAAAGTCATCATTTTTACAGCACTAAAATTTAAAAACCTATATGCTACGCTACAGCGTATCTTCAGCCTCACCTTATGCACAAACTCCTGAAGAGTTGCAAAGTCCCTTGGAAAGCCTTCACAGCCCTGCCTCACTCAGTCCCACCTCAGCCTTAGACATGTACAGTCTCCCAGCTCGCTATTTCCACACCAGGTCACCGACAACACACATGCATCATGTCAGGTGTAAGTACAGAACTGCACTTCTGTAGTTTGCTCAAGTAAATGAAAGAAAGCTTATGGCAGCACTTGGTTTTCAGGCTGGCTGTGGAAGAAAAGAAATGATGCCTTATCTGGCATAAAGCCTACTGGTAGAAAGTTAACTCCTCAACATATTTTGAACTAGCAGAGTGAGTAAGTTTACACAAGCTCAGTGCTTTGTGTTTTCATTGTACCACCAAAACATGGTCAGAGAGTACATAAGTCTTATCATTACTGACTCCTTATCTTCAAAATCTTCTACGCGTATTTGATCCAAGTCCTTTAAGCACCCACTCAGTGTGTGCAATCCTGACCTCCCAGGACTGGTGATATTTGCACACCTCAGAAACAATGGACCCATTTGTCTTGCAAGCAGGCGTGGGCAGGGGGAAGAGCTCCCTCCCTCTCTGGCCCCAAACGGGGCATTTGTTTCAAGAAATTGAAGCAACTGGATTTCAGAGCCTTAGAACAAGACACAGTATAATTTATTTAACCTTATTTTCCTCTTCCTAAACTCATGCAAGCCTTCTCAAGCCAATATTACAGAATCAACAGGAGGAAGATAAAAAAATACCAGAATATATAGTCAGTGTATATACACTTAAATGACTGCAAGCTAATTCATGAAAAGGACTTAATAAAAAGCATAGTGTTAGAAATAGCAGAATGCTTGTAAGAATCCATTCAGGTTGTTGATGATAAACTGTTTTTTTTTCCCGGTGTTTCACAATTTAAACATCTATTCACTTGCTTTCTACATACTTTTGGAGCAGTGGACAGAAAGGCAAGCAAAGACCATTTTTGCTCTCGCATATTTCCCTTAAGCTCTCACTAAAAGTCATTGTTTTCCTAAATTGCTCCCAGAAATCAAATTTGCATTTAATATCAATCTGGTGCAAGTACAGTGTTTCCTCCTTTACACTAATTGTTTGGGTTTTTTTTAAAGACATTTTCATCAAATGCATGACAGAAACTTTTGGCATGTACCCCTTGAAATGTCCTGCTGAGTTTTTGCTAACATTTGGTAACAAATCTCATGAGAGCCTTTAATGGAAGTTTTTGCATGTGTCATACTGCAAGTCTTCAAAGTGGAAGTTTATAACAAAGTCTTAATGTGACTTTAAAGCTCCAAGTCCTTTTCTAGATATCTGCTTTATGTTTACCCACATTGCTGACTGCCCAGAATTTGGCTGGCTCTGACCAGATCTAAGCACAAAGGCAAACTGAAATGACGCAGAACTCACTTTTTCCTCCTTTGTACTTCCTTAACAGATAGAAATTTAGCAGCATGTGCATAAGGAAAGTAAGCAACAAAAGAAAAGAATCTCCAAAACCACAACCAACCAAACCCACCCACTCACATGCCAGTTGGTTTTCAAAGTGATTTCTACAGCTAACAAAAGAGACAGATTGGGAATCTTGAAACATGAGTCTGTTCTACCCACATAAACAGCACTTCCTGAAAGGCAACCAGCATGTTGTGCTTCCATAAAGACAAAGAAAAAAAAAAGGGAAAGGTAAGTCATATTATGAATGTGTTCAAAAAGGAGAGTTACTAGCCTAAGGGAGGGGACAGGTTAACAGTAATTTCTTTAAATGT